ATATATATATATAGTATTTATTTATTTTATTTATTTATATTTTTTCACATTCAAAGTTTCAAAGAGAACCACAGGTCAGCAGGGAGATTGCAAAAGAGCAGCTTCTGGAAAAATACAGTAAAATCTAAATCTGTTGAAACGTGTGGATCTGATGGATTGAGTTTGCTGCTGGATATTATTGGGAGATATCATGAACAGTGAACAGCTCCGTCAGAGCGCGTCTGAAGCTCATATGCAAGTTTATTTTACAGTCTATGACAGAAACACCACTAAGTCTCACTAGATCCTGCTGTATGGGCGCGCATCCATTATAAAACACACTCAGGACATTACTTTAGACAAACATACAGATGTATTATGGCTCGTTTCCACTGACTGGTACAGTACGGTACGGTTTGGGTCGGGTCGGGTCACCTTTATCAGGCTTGCATTTACACTACCAAGGGTGTCCTTTTGGTGGGCGTGGTGTATGACAAAGTTTCAGTCGACGTCATGCTCGCACGAGAAAATGTCTACAGTAAAGCTGTACGGGTCGTTCACATTTCATATGAGCAGCACTTCTCACAAAACAGATGCTTTATACACATAAATACTTGTGTATAAATGTTTATCACTAACTTTTCTATGAACATGATTTGATTATAACTGCAGATCAATGACAGTATAAATAGCCTACTGTAAAGACTGCAGTTATATAAAATAAATTAACATATATGAACACATACAGGCCCTTACAGTCCGAGATATGTTACCAATTACAGAAAAACTACACACAGCAGACATTAGTCCTTATTAAGGTTCAAAAACTACACAAAGTATAGCCTACAGTCAGTGCAAACCTCTCATCTGTGTGTGTAATCTTCAGCAGCACATTTAGATTAATTCTGTCATTCTGAGTTCATATTAGTCCATAAGGTGATGATAATAATTAAACATGGCAGTTTGTTCACGTTTGCTGAAGAAATAATGTGCTCCTTTTTTCCCGGCTTCTCCTTTTTCTTGCGCTTCACTCTCGCATTTGTCAGTGTCTGATTGGATCGGGCAAAAGCACATTAATAATCAAGCGCACGTTATTATCATCAGCTCAAGAAGTTTGTTATTTCAGATATAGACGCGCGGCGAGCGTAAGCAAAAAAGTGAAACCGCTCGCGCTTCAGACTGCCCCTATAAAAACTACAGGGCACAGGGTAAATCTGCTCTTCTTTTTGGCTTTGTGATTGTTCATCAAGACAACGGCAAGGTTTGTTGTCATAGCAACAGTTCTGGAAGATCAAACTTGCTCGGCAGCAGGATTAATTCATATAAACAGGATTATAACGGCTCAGTTCATGCAAAGAAAATACTGAAAGTATGTTCCGAATTCTGATATTTTCTTACAGTAGTAGTTATATACACCTGGGAAAATAGTAACTATTTTTACCTATATATGTATAACTTTGTTTATTTTGTTAATAACCTTTACACACACACACATATTTATATATATATATATATATATATGTGTGTGTGTGTGTGTGTAAAGGTTATTAACAAAATAAACAAAGTTATACATATTAATAAAACGTATGCAATCTGCACCCCTGAAATGAAAGTACAAAGACTGCCACCTGGTCGTGCAAAGGGAAAACTTATTAATATGAACTTTTTAGATCGCTTTAGAATAATTTGTGTATAATAGAAATGCACAATGTGTGACTTTTTTTTAAAAGCAATAATACATTTATGCAGTCATAAACATGTTTTGATAGTTAATATGTCAGTGATTTGATGCTTCACAAAAGTTGCAGACGCCTTTACCAATATGAAAATGCTTTTGTAAACATGCAGTTATTCTTTACACAGATTAAAAAACGGCTACAATAATAAAGAAAATCTTTTCTAAATGTGGAACTAAATACATTGATTTGCATTGAAATACATGATGAATACTCTCGACACATGAAAGTGTAAAGCCTGCAGCTCACAACAAATGTGGAAAGTTCTTGCGTGTCATATTTAACAAGCCGTTTACTGCTAATTTGATGTAATTTTGCTCACATGGATAATTGAATATTAATCAGATGATGTCATTACGCTGCTGTGCCGTCAGCCAATCGCTGCATTGCTGATCATGATTTCGAGGATCGATAGATCTGTCCTTCACAACACACGCAGCGATCTCAGATCAGTTTATCCAGACATACTAATCTGATTCACGAACTTGTTTGAAGAACCAAATTAGCGAGAGATCAGTTATCAAGATTAAAAGATCAAGGATCTGCCAAATCATCTTAGATCATTTAAGCGAGGTACGAAGAACAGTCCCCAGGTCGACCATGGCTCGTTATTATGTGTATATGTAATTCCGCTGTAATCTCTTGCTGTGTATTTTAAACATGGCAGGTTTTTTTGTTTTCATTCTGGCTTGTTGCGTAATCAAATGACGTATCTCTGTAAACCAATAGCGTTCAGATGCACGTCTAGCTCCGCCTTTTGGTACTCTTTTTCATGTTTGGTACCCTTTCGAAAGGGTGCCGACAAAGTGGTACGGTACAGTTCGGTTTGGTACGCCTTTTGACAGTGGAAATGGCCATAAAGTCGTACCAAACTGAGCCGTACCGTACCACTCAGTGAAAACAGGCCATTAAATGGTTCCCACAAAAATACACAAAGAGAGACTTTCACTTTCACTTCACACATAGTTTGTGAATGAACAGACTGACGTGCACTAGTTGTGGACGCGATCATGAGGCTGTTTTTAGGCAGAGTTTGAAGTAATCATAACAGGAGAAAGTGCATTACTTTAACCATATTAACACAGCTCATTAATAATAAAATCCAAAAAATGATAGTCTAGTATTGAGAGTTCATTTTAAGCCCACTGAGGATCACTGAGGCCCACCGCTTGAGAATCCCTGCTATACCATACTATTTTATACTATATACAATATTCATTGTATTGTATACTATATCATATATTATACTTGTTTTCCCCCTTTGTCATGTCTAATATTATATTTTAATATTTTATAATATTTTGTATTATATGTTATGATATTATATTATATTTTATGACTGTATTATATATTATATGTTATGTTTTGAATGCCAAATAATATTATTTTGCATACAAATTATTATTACTTTAGAGTAACTGGGTTATAACTAGATAAGCTATAATCCATCTAGTTTATATATATAATCAGTCATATATATAATCCAGTACTTTCTTATAAGGCAAGTACTCTATAAAATGCACATACTGTAAAATATGTATTGTTTATGATATTTTATCTTTGTTAACAATAAAATGTTTATTTTGAGATTATGGTAGTTTAGGTCATTTAAATACTTATTCATTTAATTATTAAATGCTTTTTTTCTTGTAAATAATTTTTAAGAATTGGAATTTGGTGTTACCATTTAAAATTAGTGTATTTTATTACACACACTCACTGGCCACTTTATTAGGTACACCTTACCAGTACCCGGTTGGAACCCCTTTTGCCTTCAGAACTGCCTTAATCCTTCATGAAATAGATTCAACAAGCTACTGGAAATATTCCTCAGAGATTTTGCTCCATGTTGACATGATAGCATCACACAGTTGCTGCAGATTTGTCGGCTGCACATCCATGATGGATCTCCCATTCCACCACATCCCGAAGGTGCTCTATTGGATTGAGCTCTGGTGACTGTGGAGGCCAATTGAGTACAGTGAACTCATTGTCATGTTCAAGAAACAAGTTTATAAAGCTGATTAGATTTCTAAAGCTTATAATAATATAACCTTGAGGTTTAATTAAGTCATAAACTAATGAAAACTAGTTCAAAATTGAGCTGTATAATTTGCAGTGATGATAAAAGTATTAGGAGAAGTTCCCTTTTACATGTTTGTTTTGTTTTTCTCAGAGCTGTTTGATGTGTAGTTGATGTATTTCTTCTGTGTGTCTCGCAGTCCGACCATCTCAGTGCGTTTGGCTCGCAGCGAGTCCTTAAAAGCTCAGGGGGAGGGGCGTCGGCGAGGAGGCGGGACGGGGGCAGAGTTTGTTCCTCGTTCCCGTAGTGATGTGGACATGGAGGACTGTGAGGAGAGGGAGGGGCCAGGACTGAGGCCGTTACATCACAGCGCATCATCATCAGCCTCCAGCAGCTCCGCACGGTAACACACACACACACACACATCTGCTGTTAACACACATGCACAACATCTGCTCTATGGGCTCTGTGCACAGCTAGAGTTTTAAAGCCAGCGATAAACTTCTGGTAAAAGCTTAATGAGACTATTTTTAATTTCATAAGGTTCCCTTAACAGTATCAATGTTGTAATGTAGTTATAATAAATTCAGCTGAATAGACTTGGGCATTCAACTACCACTGAAAGTCCACTGATATATACTAGGGGAAAATAAACAGTCATACTTTACAGACATGGCATTGGAAATGGATATTAATGCAGTGCTTCTTATCTGATCTGAGACTCACTTCATATCATGTATCTAACAGGCAGTGAAGATCACAGATTAGTAAAGAAATCAGATGTTAAACGTGACAATGTTGTAATAGAAAGACAGTTCACTGAGGGTTCACCTTGGGCTGCCTGGCTGAAAATTAAAGGTCTGTGTGCAAATAGCCCATTAACATACATACACAACCAACATCTGCTCTATTAATAGTTTCTTTTAAGATGTTTATAACTAATACACTGCAAAAAATGCTTTTCTTACTTAGATTTTTTTGTCTTGTTTCTAGTCTAAATATCTAAAATTTCTTATATCAAGAAGCATTTTTTAGACAAGCAAAACATATCGTCTTGTTTTGAGAAATATTATGCCAATATTAAGTCAGTTTTTCCTTAAAACAAGCAAAATAATCTGCCAATGGGGTGAGCAAAATAATCTTGTTTTTTCTTTTGACGTAAGATTATTTTGCTTACCCCATTGGCAGATTATTTTGCTTGTTTTAAGGAAAAACTGACTTAATATTGGCATAATATTTCTCAAAACAAGACAATATGTTT